CTTCGCTTACGGCCTTGCCTTCACAATCGCTATTATAAACGTTGCCACCCTTATATGAACCAAAAATGCCATAGCAAGTTATCCTAGCATCATTGCAATGACTACAATATTGAGGCGGTTGTGCATCAAAAAGCAACCCACCGCCCTCCAATCTTGATGGCTCATGGAACTCCCTCCCATCAGCACCCACTCCCCTAGCATCAACTTGGAGAACATGAAGGCTGATGGCTGTAGCCAAGAATTGGTCATCGGCTCTCTCATCTCATCTCACCAGTAGTCGCCGTCTACTTCAAGGCCTCCATTGAGGGATGAGAATATCTACCCTAGTCAAGATAACAACTTGAGAAACCAAAAAACACTACAAAGAAAACATTGTAAAAGGAATTAAAACCACCAATGATGGCCAAGCAAAACCTAAGAAAACTTGAAGGTGATCATTAAAGACCCCTTTTATGTGCTCTTGATTCTTGTTTGCAAAATTCATGAGGTACCTTGACCCATGTCAATTCTTTCTATTTGCTTTTGCATATATCTTTTCTTTTGTAGGATTTTCAATGAAATAAAATTTGAGGAATGTCACCTAAAAATAATAGGTAAAATGAACTAAAGTAGTCTTAATCATGTTGTAGGATGACTCTACTACTAGGACTTCTCCTCAATGTGGAAAAATGTCTCTGTTAAAGGTTTTCTTCGAAAATCTGAACCTATTTTTTAAGGTGATACTTCTACTTTTTATAATCTTTTTATGATGTGAAGTTGAATTTGTAACTTAAAAATGAAACAAGAAGGTTCATAATAATGTATTTCGTGAGTTGATATTTTCCATTGTGGGTTTCAATGCCTTTCTTTTGAATTGATTTGTTGTGACCTTTTTACACATAAAAGCTTATGCTTGGAATTTACATTCCATATTAAACTTCAAAAGAATTTTTAAAAAAAGGTATAATAACAATTTTCAAAAGCTAATTGAGGATCATGGACAGTAAATGTAATAGATACATGTCATTACATTTTAAAATTTAAAACATTTTCCTATCAGATGGTACTTGAGATGCTTGTCCTAATTCATCTTAATTTGCTTATCTCTGTCTTGAATTTTTTTAATATTTTTCATAGATCAATGAGGAAGTCTCTTATAATGGCTACAAACTAGAAGAGCCAATATGATCCCTAGAAAAATTCGGCTTATATAAAGCCAATATCATCTTCACATTGCTGAGTTGACAGTGAAGGAAATCCTTAATTTTTTTCAACTTGTTGCCAGGGTGTTGGAAGCTGAGTTGGTACTCCTTTCATCCTAAAAATAACTAATTGTAGTTTTTATTTTAATTAAAAATATTTAATTTGAAAATAATATTTGTATTCATTTATACTATCTTTAAAAAATAAATAAGAGATAAAAAAAGATTTTTAAGTGATTGGATAATTAATTAAAGTGAATAAATAATAATATAGTTAAAATAAGAAAAAAAAACATATATTTACTTTAAAAAGTGAAAAAAAAAAAGATAATTAATTTAGAATAAATTTAATGTCAAAAAATGACAATTATTTTGTCACAGAAAAAGTAATTTTTTTTTATTTTTTTAATCAAAGTTTAATATTGGAATTGTATCAATGCATGAAAGTAATATTGCCACTGAAGAGATAACAATGGAGGCTTAGTCAACAGGAGGGAGAAGGAAGCAGGAATTTTTCAAGATCCAGAAATTCATACATATATGAAGGTGGCTTTAGTATAGTTTGTTATCTTTTCCCATGTGGCATGAGTGAGGCCTATCAAAGCACGATTGTGAGAAAAAGATTTGAGAGATTTTTTTTTTTAAATATATTTATAAGGGGTTGAATTTAAGTCGTTGTCTAAAAAAAAAAAAAAATGCACTTGATGGGTGACTCAAGACCACTGACCGAAGGCCCAAAGTGCAAAAGACTTGAGAGATTTGAAAGAATGGTTAGACAAAAATTAATTAAAAGAAAATCTAACGTCTGGTCCATTTGCAGGTTAATAGGTAACAAACAATTCGTTACCCTTAAATTGGATGGATGGGTGGATGGATGATAATGATATTGACATATTTCTATTAGTAGAGAGACTATATATGTAGTTAAATAATAATAAAGAGAGGACATAAAGTAAATTAATAATAAAAAATTTAAATTAAATTTTTTTAATAATAAAAGGACAATACTTGGCATTAACCCAATTTATTTATGTTAAAAAAACCTTGGCGTTTTTATTTCTTTTTATATTCGTAGGTAAACTGGACTTTTTCATTTTTGATGGTAAAGTTGAATTCGAGATTTTAAAGTTTATATTTCGATCCAACCATCCTCTCTCTTGGAAGAGCTCTTGTTTTAAGTTTGGAGGCTGCTGATGGCAGGGACACAGGGCAAGCTACGTCATCGTATTGGTATGGTTCAGAGGATGTGCCTACTGGCTGGTATAGAGTTCCCCTTTCGCTCAACAATATGTTTAATGTTCTGGATACATTGATGGTATACTAAAAAATTTATGATTAGTTCTTTTTTTATTTATTACTTATAAAAAATAAAAAATATGATGTATATATTAATTTTTTAGATTATAAAATAAAAATCAATGAATTAAATATGAGACAATTTAAGTTCATCTTATTTAATAATTTGAGTTAGTACAATTCTTAATAATTTAAATTATATAATTTTTTTTTAGAAAAAAAGAGTTAATTTTTTCTTTGGAGAGATATGTAATTAAAAATAAAAACTAAAATGAAGGAGAAGTTTGAAATTGTAAAGAAATCAGGAGAAAGTAGAAAGAAAGGTAAAATGGATAAACGGTTTTCGCGTAAATGGCAACAAAGGAGTGTGGAACTCCTCCTTTCCTTCTGAGATCTCCTTTTCATCTCGTCTGCTTCCTCTCTTCTTCTTGCTCCTCAGGTAATCTCTGCACGTCCGACCCCATATGCCATCGTGCATGGATGATTCTGTTTATATTTATACATTCTGGTCAATGATCTGAATCACCTGATCATGTTCCAGCATTGAATCCCATCGTTAAATCTGCTTCTGATTGAATTGGTATATTTCCATGTGGCATTTGATTCGTTTCTGCTGAAGCTCGCATTTTTCCCTTAGTTTTTGTATTTTTTCTTTATATACACCGATTTTAGACGGATTGATATCAAGAGCAGAATTTATAATGTCATCTAGAAACAAATTTTAATTATCTTCTTTTATAAAATTTCGGATTTTTGCAAAATTAAGCTGTAGTTCTGATAATACACATTCACAGCGGTTGAGTGTGATTCTATTGTGCAGTTGTTTGGTAAGTGAATTGGGTTTTATTGGGTGTTGACAAAGGTTGAATATTTGTGGATAGAGAGGGGAGCTGTAGGGGTTTGTGTGAACTGTGATCTATTGTGGGGGAGAGGAGAAGCAATGGAGTTGTGGAAAAGCTGGGACCTTGAGTTTGCAGAGAGTTGGTTCTATAGTTTGCGATATTGGAGAGCCTTGCCTATGTCAATCATCCATACAGGTTGTTATAACTGTAAGACTATCGTCTACTCTATCAGTGACTCTATCATCACTTTTTTAGCTTTATAGCAATGAGTTAGCTCTCCCTTTTCACGTTCAAGATTTGTTCTGAAAGATAACCAGATCATCTAGGCTGTTTTAATGCAGCTCCAAAAGTGTACAAATTCATGTTTTATCAATTTAGTAGACATTTTGTAAATTTTGTTCTTACATCTCTCACCATACTAAACAAAATTTTTATTCCCCTTTCCTTCTCAACAAGTTGAGTGGTGAGCTGGTTGTTCAATTTTGTCTAAGTTGGTCTGGAAACTTCACTCATGACTATGTTCTTTATTTGGTTAACATCTTTCCCTTTGGTGTGGTTGTGGTATTAATTTTCAATAAAATATTAAAGATTCATCTGTCATTAATTGGTGCAGACAAGCAGAGTGCTGGAGCCAGAAAAGTGGCAGACACTTTATGATAATGATGGAAAGATTTGTGGTTTTAAGAAAGCCCTCAAGTTGATTATTTTGGGGCATGCGTTTTTTGTTCCCCCAAAATTTCTGACAGAATGAGTAGGTATTTTGTTGCATATTTTCATATCATTTTGTTGTAAATCTCTCATCTCAAAGTTATAATGTTTACCTAGCAATATTATACTTTAGGAATGTAGGATTGTAATGGAGTTGGCTTTATTTAGAATGCCCTGATTTCTTTGATCAAATTTCAGACACAGTTAGTGTGATGTGATGCAGCCTCCTTTCTCCCTGAGTTTGATATGTTAGCATGTGATAAATAACATTATTGGTTGATTGAAATTTCTCAAATAAGCCACATCTTCTCCCATGCTACTTCTTCTGAAGGCAAGTCATTATTGATTATAATTGAGATTCATACCATTTTTGCTTAAGTTTGGGAATTTTTGCTTGGTTGTTATGCATTGGGAAGTACTGCAGAGTACTGAAAGCATTTGAGAGCATTGCATAGGTGTAGTCTTTTTTTCCCTCATTTTTCGTACTGAGTTACATACCTTAAGCACTTACTGAATTTCCTTTGTTCAATATGTCTAATGCTACTCATCTCTGAAACAAGGTTAAATATCCATTGTCATCCCCCATTCTTTTTGTTCATTTTTTTTGAAAAAAGTGGGAATCAGGGAAGTAATATTGAAGGAAAAAGTTCCTTGGGGAGACAGAGAGGTGCTTAATCTTCTCTACCCCATCTTGCCCAGATATATCATGAGAATACTGTTTTCTTAGCATTTACTTTAAGAGCTTATATATTCTACAAAGCTAGCATTATCTTGTTAATTTGGAATCTCTATTATCGTGTCTCGGTTCAAAAAGTTAGCTTTTCTTGGCCCCTTCTCACAAGAGTATATAACTTATTATTTGCAATTATTGAGCAGTTCTTATGAATGACTTTTTTAATTTTTGGTTATGCATTTGCTAAAATCAAGGCACTGATTTTTTATTTATATAACAGCTCCATAAAACTGTATGCAGGGGACGTTACCAGGATCTCTTAAGGCAGTGTCAAACAATGCATTCAAGCATTGGAACTCGGTCACTTGCCTATCCCGTAGGATCCAAGGTTATGGATATGAGGTCATCCTCCAAAGATGAAAGGAAAAGGGAAACTATTGTCAAAAGTAGACAATCTTCCATTGATAATAATGATAACATAGAAAATTCTTGTGACCTGAGCAACAATTGTACAGATATGTCACATGCTGGCCAAAGGGAAATTTCTACTGATCCCACTGATCTTTTGTCACCTTGAGGGTGAGTACTGATGGTGCAGCACATGACTCTTCTTCTTGTATACCTACTCCTGGATTATACAGCAGCAGTTCCTCTGAAGTAGGGAGAAAATATCATAGACCACATTTCATAACTGAAACATATATTGATTTTCTCCCACTACCAGTTATAGATTTGTTTGATGGTGGAGAACATGAGAATGACTTTGTTCCATATGAGGATGAGAGTATGCATGGTTTCCAAATTAATGACAATTCTGAGTTAATCTTGGAAACAAATACTTTTTCACCATCTAGCAATTTTTCTCGTCATTTTAATTCTGAAATCAAGTTGATTATTCCTGATATGCGCCAATCAGTCTCAGAGTCCAGTAATCTGGGTCATAAAACAGAAATTGTCAACAGATTAAGAATATCAGATGTCTCAAAAACACCATTGGCAAATGCAACCTCATCTAAAGAAGGAGCAGCAAATGAAGCTTTGGAATTTGCACCAAATGGGTAACTAAATAAACTCTTTTGTGAAAATATGTTCTTTCAGTCTCTATCAGCTGACGGGATTCTTCCTATTTTCAGTTGTTGATGTGTTGAGAACAGATAGTCATCTTGAAGTCTACAAGGACACAAGAAATCTAGCAAGGATGTCTGATATTCTTGCTGTCTATGCGTGGGTTGATCCTGCAACTGGTTATTGTCAAGGTTAAACTTTTCTCTGCTTTCCAACTACTATTTATTGATGGCACAAAGATTTTCACAATACAATTTAAAGCTTTAGCATTAAACATCACAAGTTTTTTGGTTCATTTTGGTTATAGGTATGATAGACTTGCTGTCTCCCTTTGTCATGCTCTTTGAGGATAATGCTGAGGCATTTTGGTGCTTCGAGATGCTCATAAGGAGACTGGTATTGTACTGTTATAGACTAGAAAATTTGTTGAGTTAGATAATTTGTATTATTTCACTAAAATTTTTTTATGGATGCCTCCAGCGTGAGAATTTTCAGATGGAAGGACCAAGTCGAGTGATGAAGCAGTTGCAAGCATTGTGGCATATCTTGAAACATACAGACAGGGAAATGTTTGCACACTTGTGAAATATTGGTGCCGAAAGTCTTCATTTTGCATTTCCAATGCTTCTGGTTCTATTTCGACGAGAGCTATCTTTTAATGAGGCTCTTTGTACGTGGGAGGTTTGCTGTCTTAGTCTCACTGGATGACATTGACTACCAAATCCATCATATTAGTTACATCCTAATATATGCAGGAAATATTGGTATGTGAGTTCTAATGTTACGACCCAAACAGGTAGTTTCTAGACACTAGTGTAGATCCTAGCTGAAATTTACTGTCACAATAGTATCTATTCGTAGGTGGCTAAGTCTTTAACTACATTAAGCTAGAAATCATTTCCCTGCTTCGTAAAGGATGTTCTTAAGCTCAAAATATAACTATCTAGCACATAGCCATAAGATCCAAAATGGATTTTATAAGCATACAAACCACAAGCTTGGCTTGATTTAGGTACAGTCCCAGAGCTTAATTGAACCTAACAGCATATTTACATAGCCCAAAAAAGGAACAGTTCTCCAGAAAACTGTATTTTGTACACAAAAGAAATTTTAGGTGACCAGCATGTTTACAACTAGCTGTGAGCCATGACAGGGTTTTGGTCAGAGAACAAGTTTGTGTTACCAACTCAGCTGCCAAGCTGTATCTTTGGCTGGTTGAGGTGCTCCTGGGCTTCCCAAGTATATATAAGCTGCTATAAAACACACTAACCTGTAACAACAGGGAAGAACAATATTTCCATGAGCTATAAGGCTCAATAAGTAACTAATAGCTTAACAAACTATCAAAATTCAAATTTGTCAAACCATAACTGTTCTCAACAGTATTCAGTATAGTTCTTTGCATATTTGATGATAAAATTTCACTAGAAACCTATTCACTCCAAGCACATGCTTACTTGGTCTCCATTCTAGAACAAACTAGAGAAATATGTTACTTTAACTTAGGGAGCATAAAATCAGCCCCATTACACTGCTCTTCAATTACTGAACAGTTTCTTCAGTGTCATAAATAAACATGACATAAATACTCTCAATAACATAAGATAATAGCAAGGTAACCTAATGCTTGTTCAACATGTAGATGAATGCAAGCTCTTAACTATGGATTTTTCCTTGTGGGTGTACATCCCACTTTACAAATGGCCCAGCCATAATTATTTTTCTGATTTGCAATGGGTCTAATAACATCTCTTTGCACTCCCAGTCCAACTGGGTTTCATATTTCCAGTCCAACTGGTTTCATAATCCCTGTCCAACTGGGTTTCCAACTAGCTCAGCTGCACCAACAGTTAATTCACTAGAAAAATTCCACTAGCACACATAAAATGCAGATGTTATCCAGATCATTTCAAAGATAAATTAACCATAAGAATCCATTCTTAAATTTTTGCTTAAACTTCAGAGAACTTAACTTAATTTTGTTAAGCTTAAGAGTTACTTACCTCAGATTAAATGAGGTTGGACCCAAAACTCCTCCAAAACTCTCAGTTTTGCTGTTGCCCTTGCTGCAAGGCCAACACTCCTCTATTTCTGTCTTGCTCGTCTGGTGCCAGAACAGAAGAAAAAGAGATGAAATTTGTTTTGGTTTTACCCCTCTAAATGCATCCTGATTCTAACCAAAGTTAGTGGGATTTTAATGCATTCCACTATACTTTTCTCACTGCTGTGCAATCACATGCCAAGTGCACATTTACATGTCATTAGTCTACCAAGCCATTTGTTCAGCAACATTGTTATGAAATCAGTCCCTAAACTTCTCTTAACAGTACAAGACCTCAACTATTAAGTTTCTAACATTTAAGGACTAAAATTTCAATATTTTTACCTTTAAGGATAGGGATGTTTCATCTAATCTACACATCATAGACTCTGATGATCAGTAGATCAAGTACTAAGCCATCCACTGAAATAACATGGAGGACTTCTAGCAATAATTTGTTTTAGATTAATGTTTGAAACATTTTCCCGATGCTAGCCTATTCTTTTGGTAGTATGAGAGGCATTTACTAGTTGTTTCTTCACAATTTTCTAAAAGCCGTTTTGTTCCTTCCGGGAACCTATACTAACCATATATGTGACAAACATAACGGTTTAGGATTCTGCATGTCAAGAAATCATAATGATGGCATTAACAACAATATGATTCATGGTGAATGATAAATTTAGTCATGACCTGTATCATGAATTTTAGTCCTGTGAATGTTATGTGATATGAATAATGTAATTAAGGGAGGAAAAGAATAACAGTAACCAATGAAGACAGCTAACAAGGGTGACAATTTCACAGCTGTTACCTGTTGCATCAGGAAAATATTGATCCTTTTTCGCTTAAAATGATCAACATTACTCCAAAAATTATTTGTTAATGGTCAATTTTGAGCGGTTGATGAGCATGTATTCATAAATTTGTATTGTTTTTATTTAGATGAGAAGACATTGATTTATGCATTTCTGATAAAGTTAAGATGTTTACCTAAAAATTATAGTTGATTTATTTAGATGAGAAATGGTATAAGATCACAAGTCATTCATTTTTTGCAAGTATAGATTGTAAAACCCTTTTCACATTTTTCTGATCTTATTATATGTACTGTTTCTTTACCCTTCCCCCACCCCCTTCCTTTTTTTTTTTGACAAAATCATCCAAATGCAGATGATATGGGCTGCTGACTTTGATGAATCCTTGGCTCACAATTTAGAGGAGAACTGTCTGGGGCCATCAATCATAGAGCTCTCAAGGGACTTTGGATCAGAAATGAAAGAGGAAGGCACAGAATATGGAAATGGTAGTTTAAAGGGCACCTTACAGTCAAACCAAGGAACTGAGGAGCATTTGATACCTGATAATGATGGAATAAAATCAGCGTCCACTTATCACTTCTGTGGCTTGACAAGGAGTTTTTGGTCTAAAAATGAACACCTACTATCATGCAGTATTATCTCAACTGGGAATGGAGATGATGAGCTACCTGTCTTTTGTGTAGCAGCAGTTCTTATCATGAACCACCATAAGATTGTCAAGGAAACCCATTCAATTGATGACGTGATAAAGGCAAGTGCTGATTTCTACTCTCTGTCTTTCTCAGTATTTACATCTGGACATACAGGCAAAGAAAAGAAGCCTGTCAAGCAAGACATGTGTAGAAGCTTATGTTACTCACAACTGCTTCTGAGTGGGATTTCCCAACTTTTTGAATAAAACCCTCTTAAGTCTTTCGGCCAAGCTAGCCCAGACCTTTGGCCAACTTGTGCTTTATACCTGCACCATAAAATATTTATAGTCACTTGATGCCAATAAAAAAAAATGATAGTCAGTTGATTTTATAATTACTTGACTTTTTTCTCTTTTGGCAAAAACTGAGGCCTGGTTACTTTCTCTTATAAAAGAAATGAACTTAGAAAATGTATTTCATCAAAGAAATGTTGACTATTGTTCTTAATCTAGAACAGGAACCGAATAGTTCTAGTTGGTAGAGAATTTAGGGTGAATTTAGTGGGAATGGACGTGCATATTAGGGTGGAACTAATTATACATGAGCTAGGGAGCTGAGGCATGCACCCCCAGTCCCACATGAATCTGGTGGGGAAATGCCCCAGCCAATCATGCACAGATTCAAGGGTTCTATTATATCTATTGACATTATGGAGAGGTTAGTTTGGTTTCAATATTTAAAATTTCCATTTTATTGCAGATTGTCAATGATGAGCTACTGAAGATATGTGTCAAAATATGCTTACGAACAGCAATCAAAATGCAGAAAAAGTACTTTTCAAAGGTTAGATTCTCATTCTGTTGCCTTTTCCCTCATACAATACTATGTATAAAAAAAAGGTTTCTTCCTAGATATTCATTTTCCTCCCATGTGTACTCTGAAGAAAAGCATGACACATATGCAAGTCCAAACTCCAAAGAATGCACAGGGCATTAAATTAAACTCTTCACATCACTGTGGAATATAGTTACCTCTAGTAAATCTTACCCTTTTTTTTCTTTTTCTTTTTTTTTTTTTTTGGATTCAGCTAATCAAGATACAAAGGTCTACAGCTCCTTCTTCTGAGTAGGTCCATGCCATTTCCTGCCTATTCTGGTGGAAATATTAGAGCATGGCAGTCAGGGCTATTATGTGGAGCCTAGAATCCCTGCTGTGGACATGGCATGGGAAAAATTGGTTACCCTTGATCTTTTATGATTGAAGGTTAGACAGCAGAAATTTGCTGTTGAATGATTCATCCAACATTTGCACCTATGTTACTCATTCAAATCTATTATGAGATAATTTATCATATGGTTCACTTTACATTCTCTCCTGCAATGATATCTATCATCTGATGCAAATGAACATATTAAATCCACGTAGAAGATCTATGCATTTAGCTGACTGAAACAAATATGCAGTCTGAGTTTTCATTTTGTCTCATTTTGAAGTCACTAGAAAGATCGGGAAGAAGATTCCAAGAAGATACATTTTTCTTGTGGTGCAGCTAGGACAGTGAACTGAGCGTGATCTGTCTCTTTTCCTTTTGTAAGTTACTATTCTTGTATATCTATATAACAAATAATTTGGGTCAAAATTTGTTAAATCTAATCTTGTGTATTGAATCTACAGAAAGAAGAACTAAAATTTGTAGTTAATAGGTAGGTGTCGAGATTCTAGCTAGCGATCGTTTAGGAGATACGTTATTATTATTGTATAACCAACAACTTGTTAAACAATTTTGTCCCTTGTTTATGCACATTTCTGTACCTTATCAAGGACATATTTGTTAAAAAAAAAAAATGGACTATGAAGTTTCATATAGCTTTAGGACAGGAAATCCAATCTTTTTTGTGAATTTGCAATGCCAGCAACTGCATGTCTCTCCATTCGCATAGGGTTTTCTGTAAGTCATCAAAACCGGCTGCAAACTCTTTGACGAATGACGGTCTCCTGGGTATCAATATGTATAATTCAGTTTATGTTGTGGGTATCAATATGCATAAATGCGTTGCTTATGGTGAAAAGGCTAGCATTTATTTGTACTGTGCAGTATTTATTAAGAGATTTTGTTGATGTTTTTTTTTGGAAACTAATAAATACAATTACTTTCTAATTTAAATATTTTCATTAATACTTGCAATTCATTTAACCATTCAGTAACTTCAAATCTATGTACCAAACACATTTTTTTATAAGAAAACTTTTTTTTTTTCACTCTTGTTGTAATGACATAAGTGTCAAAAAAATTATGTAACGGATGATGATTTATATATCGAATATCTCTTTCGTGTTTTGTCAATATGGGATTAGCATATATTTTGGCAGTGTATGATTTACCTAAACGTGTCATATAACCATTATTGTCTAAGAAGACACATGAAATGGCTTTGATGTCATTTATGACGATTCAACTCACTATTGACATTATCTATTTCAACTCTTTTTAAGTTTTACGATTTTTAAACACATTAATAAAAGATAATAAGTATTAATTTATATATTTAACATCTTTTACCTGTTTTATTGATGAGATTTGCTTAAGGATGTCACAATTGTAATACTACTTTATTCTTAAATTAATATGGTAAGTGTTTATATATTTACCAAAAAATTTGATATTTTATAATTTAAACATTCTAAATATAAAATTACAAAATACTATCCATAAAGACCCTCTCCTAATATCAAGATCAATTAAAAATATATATTTTACAACCCCTCAGTGGAAAACACTTTCAACTCAAGAAAGTAGATTACATATCTATTATCAGTGTTAGAGTATAATTCTCCTAATTTTGGGTGATCCTCCCGCCATCTCCATCTCCATGTCCATCAGTGATTTTAAAATTTGCATTGCACTCACCCTGTTTTCTATTTTATATTTCTTTCTTTTAAAAAACAAGAACTAATCGAACTGTTAAATATCCGCCCCCACCCCAACCCAACCCAACCCAAAAAACAAGTTTATTTTTTTCATTCTCACTTTATTGTCGTCTTACATTCCCAAATAAAATAGACAACCTGAGAAATCGGTTTCCGTTCCGGACGCATCTCTTTCTCCTCCTCCTTTCGGTGTCAATTCCTTTGTTTCACTTGGAGGTCCCTTCAATCTCCTTCCTATTCATGACTTCATCTCTTTCCCCCACTTATTTATCTCGAACTTTTTAGGTGTAAAATCTTCCCAAGCGATCGTCTTCTTTGTTCCTCTGCTCTTTTATGGCGGGAACCAACGGGCAGCTCTGAGCAGTCTGGGTGTTCGTTTGTATCAAAGATAGGTGGAGATACTGAATTTTAAAGATAATTGAATGGCAAATTCATCTGGGGACCGTCAAGAACAAGCGAATCAAGGGGCGTCCACTTTCTTCACTGGAACGAACCCCACCAACGGCAATCTGGCATCCGATTGTTCTGCTTTTAGTATGAAGCACGATCCCGGTATCTCAATGGAGTGGACAGTAGAGGAGCAGGTGATTCTTGAAGAAGGGATTAAAAAGTAAGTGTTCTTTTATCTTTTCTTTTTTTTTTTTCCTTTTAAAGACTTGGGTTTTTTTTATGAAAAATGTTATAGTTTCTGGGGTTTGTTGCAAATGCTTTTGAATGTTTTGAGACTTTATTGGTTAGAATAGTTAAGGTATTCTGACTTAGAATCAAATTCAGGCGACTAAAGCTGCCAGCCTTTTCTTTCTGCTTTTGGTTGTTTGAATGGTTTTGTTATGTTAATCTGGGATTTTGTAATGAACTTAATTTGGATTTGGAGTGTTAGATTGAATTTCGAATATTTGCATTTCCCTGTTGTGTTATTTGGTTGAATTGCATAGCATACTTGTCTAGACATGATCTTTGAGTTTTAGTGGCTTTTCTTTTTCTTGTTTTCATATTCTAATTTCCTCTCTTGGCTACTTTAATTGTATTATTACAATAATAAAAATATTGTCTTAGTAACTTTAGGATGTCTTTGTTAACCATTATCCTTAACTTTAGTATTACCAATTTAAATTGGGAAACTTCAATTCGCAAATTCTAGTGTTTGTGCTAAAGCATTCTTCTTTTTAATTAACTTTCAGTTAATTAGTTCCTTTTGAATATGTGTCCATTGAGAAATGGTTCATTCAATTTCGCAATTTATTTAGCAGTCTTCATTTCATGGTTTAAGTCTCTACATTTGCCTGAATTGATTCTTTTTAAATTTTTTTATTTCCTTGCAGATATGCATCAGAACCATCTGTAAGTCGTTATGCAAAAATAGCCATACACCTACCAAATAAGACTGTGCGAGATGTGGCATTACGTTCTAGATGGATGACTGTAAGGCTTGTATTTATTGCTTGTTTCTGTATAAATGTCTACTTGAAGTTTAGGAGTTGAAATTAATAAACTATTATATTGTGGATGTATTTAAATGAGAGAGTCAGTCCTTTATTTTGATGGAATTATTATGAATTATAGTTGAATTTGGAAAAAAAAGGTACAAAAACTCCATTTGGGGATGAATCTAGATAACCATTTTCTCTATATAAACATTTTGTGATGCAATATAAATGTATTGAATTAATAAGATCTGTAAATGTGGCATAATTATTGTAATTAACTAAATTGTGTAGTTTTAATTAGGGAACCAATTACCTTCTAGAAACCTATTTTATTTTGGGTTAAGACCAACTAAGGTTCTTAAACTATTGGTTTTTGCTCATTATCATCCTTGTTTGACTCCAATGTCCATTGGTATCTTTGAACTTTAAAGTTGACATTCCTTAGGATCCTTCTACAACTAGAAAAATGGTTATTGGGCTCCTTAACGTGACATTGTTAGTGACATGGCACTAATGGTGTCAAAATTGATTGTTAGCTATAATGGTTGCCATTTAAAAATATTTTCTTATTTTTAAATTATTTTTTAAGGGTTGTTTGGCGTTAGGTTTTTAAATTTGAGTTTAGAAAATGTAGCAAATCTACATGGTATAAAAATCAAAAGGATATCTCATTTCTATTTATGGTAGTGGTATGAAAATGCTGTTGTTTATTTAATTATACTCAGCATTTTTTATCTTTGATTTTGAGTTCTGCAGAAAAAGGAAATTAACAAAAGAAGGAAGGAAGAATATAATTTAAGCAAGAAAGGCAGAGATAGAAGGGTATGGTCTCCTTGGTATTATTTCTTATCCATGCTGTGTTGTTGCCTCTTTTTGCCACCAAAAAGATAAATCCATTATGTGTTAGTTGTGAGGATTGGAAATAAAAACAAACTATTTCCTTATTTTTGACACGTATATTTTCTTCAATGATAATTTGATGATTTGATGGCTTGTTTTGGTTCATGGAGCAAGTTAATTGCTTTATACTCCTCAATTTAGTTGGATGCATAATTTCATCTATCACCTTTGCTTTTTGAGTTCTTGTTTAAGTTTTCTCCAATCCTGAATTGTCTTTAATCTACTGTCTTTTATTGATTTTGAGCCTTTGAAAGTGTTAAATTTAATTAGTAGACTTCTTAGTTAACCATAATTATTGGCTGTATCTCTTGATAAGACAGGACATAGGACAACCAAAAAAACACAGATCATAAGGAATTCTTTTGCTTTTGATGTTTCAGGAAAGAGTTCTCAATTCTTCAGCAAAGTCATCTCACTTTGGTTCTCATGTTCCACATGGTTCAACAATGATTCCTCCGAACTTTGATGATGGTATTTCATACAAAGGTTGGAGTCTTATCTTTGAAGTCTTATCTTTGAAGGGTGTCTATATCCTTTGGATAGTTTTGTTTGACATTGTATTTCTTTTCTTACAAGCTTCTATTTCACTAAATTAGTTTGAATAGCAGCCTGGTTCTTCATTTTTCAAGATATTTCTGTGTTGTTTTCTGAATAGTATGTCTGTGTCGTAGTCAGGTAACTCAAAAAACTGGAATTACAATTTAGGACAGATGCTCTTTCTGTCAGATTTGTTGTTGGCCTATTTTTTTCATTGGGCTTCGGTGCTTTGAATAATCTGCTGATAAGTTAACTTGTATATTGAAAGGAATCTGCATCTGTATGGTTTAACTGTAGACAGTTGTTATTATGTGATACTTAATGACTCATCTATTCTATCAATAATGATTCGCCTCTTGCATTAAATGAAGCCAAACTTTTAATTTGTGCATCATGTTTGCTAAGCATACAAGTCTTCGCATCTTCTATGTCACCATAATGAGAAATTAAATTGAATTGTGCTGTTTTCAGCCATTGGTGGTGTTACAGGAGAGCTTCTTCAGCAGAATACCCAGGCCATCAATCAAATATCTGCAAATATTGCAGCTTTGAAGGTAAATATTTGCATTATTGGCATAATCAGATTTGTTTTATTCCTGATCTCATTTAATATGTTATAGAAGTATTATATCCAATAATTTATTTTCATGAATTTATTTTACTTTCCTCATCTGAAATTTCTCTCCCTCAAATTTATCATAATCTGGATTTAATATTTGAAGGTTGGTTATGTTGAGTGTAATTGTTATATTTCTCGATGCATTTGAAAAATAAAAGGTGTAACTGCTACTTGGAGTGTGTGAAAGTAATATTAGTATGGCTGTTACCAAGTGGACACCAATTTTGCTACTTGTTCTGAACATGATCCAAGACCGTCATTTATCTTTATCTGCTTCATAGTTCAAGGCTGTCTAATGGAACTTGTGTCTTGATTCCATTTTGTTTCAGTTAGAGGACAACATCAATCTCTTCTGCCAAATTCACAGCAACATCCTCAAAATTATGAACAAGTATGTCACTGTTTGTGCTCAAATTTTTTATAATAAAATCTTTGAGTGCTTCATGATTAATATTGTATTCTGCTGTGTGCTTAAAAACTTTTTCGAGTAGAAAACACCCATTTTTCAACCCTTCACCATATTTAAACTGTGATGCCATATACATTCACCAATGCATTCCAGAGTTAAAAAGAAGTGAGGTTTAAAAGAAAATTTGAAGCACCTACGAGATATTAGCTGCATGCACTTTAAATTTGGAGAGTACTACAGAGTGTTTCATTCTATAAAATTTTACTGATTATGGTATAATTTCAATTATCGTTTCCATATCAGAAAAGTACTGACATGTTTCTTCTTATTTCTATTTCCAGCATGAATGAGCCGTCCGACTTTATGAGGCAGATGCCACAACTTCCAGTAAAATTGAACGAAGAGCTTGCCAACATCTTCCTTCCTCCTCCAACAACCTTTCCCCCATAATCACAATCCTTACTCTTCACTCTTATCCAAGCCTTCTGATTATACTTCCCATAACACATCTCTGGTGACATACTCGGCGCCCCAGCCTGAGCCACCTCAAACCCAACAGTGAATGGAGCAAGAAAATAACTAAAGTACTATTCTCTTTCTCCCATTCCTTGCATGCGCCAGTTCAATCAAAAAATTTTGCTCCATCTTATGTTTGTCCTCTAGATTGCATTTTTGTGAATGTCAGAGATTAAAATTAGCAATTCGCCCACTAAATTCTCTCGACCTTGCATTGAAGGACTGTAAATTTCATGGTTAATGGTTTCCTTTATTATTGAAGAATCAATTTTCTACATAATTTTCTTCCTCTCCTGACTTCCACCATTTTATGCATGAGAATTCAAGTTTGAACTTTTTAACATTTTTCTCATGCGTTCTAGATAGCAATGGCCGACATGTGGATATGAGCATTATACCCTTGCTCAATCTATTAATATTTAAACTATAGCATGGACAAATCTGGAAAGCAAAAAAAAAAAGTTGAAAGGTCCTATTTTGTTTTCAATTTTAAAAATAATAAAGCAAAGCCGTGGCTTATTGTGGTAGTTAACCGGAAATTTCCTTCGCCCCAAAGCAACTAATGTGCTTTGTTTCAAAAGGTAAAGCTATCTGCTTTATAGAAGGTAAGCTTCTACGTAACCAGTTGAGTTTCCTCCCAGGCGAGGTCGAATGTGTCATCATCATAAACAATTTGAAAACTACACTCATTTAGGCCGGCCCTAACTTCAAAATTTCATTACTGAAAATGTATTATTTTATATATTAGATTTATGATTCAAAATTTAGAGTAAGTTTTGATAAAAATTAATTGTTTAGCACTTAAACTTTTGAGACTAATATTATAAGGCCTTTTTTAAATTTATATTTTAAAAATACAGGTTAAAAATTTTAAAAAAATAAAAAATAAGATTTAATTTATTAATTATTTAATAAAATTTATTTATGTGATAATGATGTTAAAATTAATATTTTTTTATATTTTTTATATAAATTTATAATAAAAAATATTCTTAATCTATATTTTTAAAACACAAATTAAGAAAATATATAATATAAAATAATTTTTTAATATATAAATTAATAGAAGGGGACACTACTAAAATTATTCAAAATTCCATTGGTATTGAGATGCACAAAACTATCTTGAGATAAATGTTTTAAACAAAAAAATTTTAAAAAAAAATGGTTTGACAGAACGCTGGTGGTCCATTTATTAAATATTTTCCGACTCCGAGTAATTTCTTCTGCATAGGCTTCAACTGGCGGCTACCTGGTGTCAAAATGCGCGCTTTCATGTTTCACACTACAAGAACAAGGGAAAGGAGCGTATACGTATGCTGTGATTCTGTATGATCCCTTTTTCCTCCGCGGCCTTTCCGAAGGCTTGAGCTTTAATGGATTCATTTCAAACATATTTAAAATGATAAAATCAAAGTGACGACTTCATTCTTGACTAAAGGTCGTCACTTGACCTGAAACTCTGTTTTTTTCTGACTTTTGGTACGTTAGTGTTTTGGTTGGAATAAGAATTGCATTTCAGAAAACCCCATTTGGAAGGAATGGTATATATGTTTGGGGGTGGTTGTGTCTTGAGAAATGGATTGAGTTGAAAAAGCAAAACGCCCTTCCCCCACCTCTCTTCTCCATCCCTTCTCTCTCTCTAGAAATATAGCACAAATTTCTGGCACCCTTTGGTTGAAATTGGATTTGGGAAACTGTGATAGAGTGGAATTTGAAATTCTAGAGGTGTTTCAGTTGAACTTCTTGACCTGGGTTTGTCTTTGTCCTGCTTTTAAAGGTTTAGACATATGAGCTTTGAAGGGTCTAAGGTTTTGTTCTGAAGGTGTTTGAATAAAGTCCTGTACCAACCCATCTTAGAGTTTTGCGGACATGTTTCATTTATAAGAGTTGGGTATTGAGGATTCTACAGGGCTTTCAAGGGAAGATTAATGAAGTTGCAGAGAAGTAGCCATTGAAGCACTTGTTGAAGCTCCTCTCTGAGAAACTTGATTGGAGTTTGGCCGATAACCAACATTCCCCTGTATACTCCGGGTGAGTTTATTGGTGATATACATGTTATTGTCTTCCTATCAAGCAATTTCCTTTCCTTTTCTTCACCATTTGATCATCTCCTTTTCATCTTTGCTGCTATTGCAGCAAGTTGAACCTTCCCCAGGTCTTGTTTGCTATCATCCCGCCAGTATTCTAGGACCTTATTGGCTTCAAAAATCTAACTTGGATCATCCCTTCTTCCACCTTTTCTGTTCATTAAGAAAAGTAAAGTTATGGGTTTTTTTTTT